CTGGATAAGTTATGAGCTATCATCATCATGATCTTCTTAAAGGAGTCATCATCGGTTTTCTGCTTTTCCCTCTTCTCATGTTTTTCTTGTGGATGTAAAATATGTGAAAATGTAGAAAACAAGAAAACAATGAGGCATAATTAAGATTATGAACCTGAATATGAGCAGAATTTGTCCCCACACATTGTCATGATCCACAATCTGAATGATTATTTTTTTCAGATATTAAAAAAAATAATTCTGCATATTTATCTATTAGAACCTTTTAAAAAACAATATTTCAACACACTGTTTTTAAAGGGCTGCTTCACGTCAGTTTATTAAATCTCAGTGCATTAAATGTCACAGTATCCTGAGCTTGGAAGAAGCTGACCTCCTTAGACACCTCTCTCTGTCAATTTCTTCTGTCGGATTTTGTCAATGTGCTGGTCAACGATAACTATTGTTATAACTTGTGTTGAGGTTCCCAATATTGTTCCACCAAGGTGGGACCCAGAGGAATACAAGACCCATGATGTCTGGCTTTATGTGACTCCTTTCCCTCAGAAAGTCTTCAGAGCATTTTGAAGTGACCCCAGGACACCAGAATGTGAAACGCTGCGCCATGCTCCTTCATCTTTTCTTTAAAATGCTCCGATGCTTCGACGGTGCTCTAATTATGGCTCTTCATCCTCATTTGCACCATAGATCGCAAATTGCAGGAATCACATTGAGCCCAGTTCACACCATGGGCTCCATTTCCTTTTTGAAATCAGAATCCTATGTTCATCATTTCACATGGGGAGGATTGTGTAGTTAACATTGGATCAGGTTAGGAAACATATTGTGTTTTAGGACTAATGCAGGATGTTTGATAATGCGGAGCGGTTGAAATAATTGGGGTGAGTGGCAATGGAGAGCCATGCGGTGGCAATAAAATGTGAGAGAACGTCGCACTTGATAAACATTAATTTCAAAGAGGGATATGATGGATTCGGATGTTGCATGTAGAAACTCATTGTAATAAACTTCATGTAATAATTCACGCATCTGAAACCAAGCAGACCCTGCTCTGTTTGATTTGCTCAGCAGAGGGATTATGGCAGCGCTCAGTCACCTCCGACTCTCTGTGCCGCAGGGATTTCTGAGAACTCCACTGCTGTGCTCTACCAATCAGACGGCTTCTTCACTCACTCTTTTACTCTTTATTGCTCCATTGCTCACAGTTTCTCACTCTTGTATTTGTCCCTGTTCGTCTCGCTTGTGTTTTGTTGCTTATTCTTCTTCCTCAGTCTGACACTTTTTATGTTTTTATTCTCTCCTCTTTGTCTCTTCCCTTCATTTCACCCTTCCCTCTGTATGTTTGTGTATAGACCTCTAGCTCAGGTTGTACATCACACTGGTGTTAACTTGTCACAGGTTGGAAATGTCCAGTACATGGTGATGTACTGTCGGTAGCACAATATTATGTTTCTCTGTATCTTTTTTCGACGCATCCCCACTTCCTCTGATTGTAAAAAAAAAAAAAAAAGTGAAGCTCAAATATCCCGGCTGCTGCCATCTTGCAGTTTCGACAACATGTCTGCACAGTTGTAATGCTCCACCTCATTTCCATTGTGACTGCAGCCACGGTGTCGTCCACCTTCATATAAACTCTGGTTCTTTGTATTAAAGTCGAGAGGGGAGACACATCACAACTTTTCTTTTTGCTGATGAATCGTTGCGATAAGTCAGTGCCACAGTGTTTGCTTCCAGCTGCACTTATTAATATAAGGGAAGTGAACATCCACTGTTGATTCAGCAACAACGCAGGATGACAAATGGGAAGCATCTATATCATTATTATGGTGGGACTAATTAACATACTGTATATCTTTGTGGTGGTTATCATGAATGAAAAATTGAGAATTATGTAATTATTCCACTCTGGTTATTAACTTTCATATTTACAGCCGCTTGAAATGAATCTATGATTTGTGGACATTTGGGAGCCGTCCGAGCTGAGCTCATTTACATGGGCTATCGTGGTGGGTGAGGAGATTTGTGAAATAATCTCTCTCTCTCTCTCTCTCTCTCTTTCTCTCTCTCTCTCTCACTCTCCCCCTCTCTCTCACACACACTCCCTCCCTCCCTCCCTCCCTCCCTCCCTCCCTGCAGACTGGGGCTTGTTTGTATTTAATATGGGAGATTAATTAAGCTCGTTGGTATTCTAGGACACTGGCTCCAGTTGTTTCCCTGGGCTGGGATCAGCAAGGGCATCGTTTGAGTTTTTTGCCGTGTGAACGTGGGGAGTCTGGGAGGAGACGAGTGGCAGGCCGGCGCCCTCTACAGCGAGGTGTTCGACTGGCGGGATGGTTGGATGAATGGTTATCTGTGACAGAAACTCAGTGTTCGGACAGCTCATCCATCAATCAATCCGTCTGTGATTAACTGCTCTGCTGTGCGTGTTCATACATGAAACAACTCAGTACAGCTTTAATTAATCGCCACTCTGCCTCACTCTTTCTGTCTCGGATGCTTTGCTGCCGTGGCAGACAAATGCCCACGTCGTTGTGAACCATTTGTCATTTGGTTTGAGTGAGAGTAAACAGCAATATAAACATATGATGAACAGTCGCTCTCATCAGTGTGATTGATATTCCCCGTTCTGCCTTGATGCAATGTTTACCACATAGGGTCATTTCACAGACTCTTTAGCATCAACTTTAATTATGAATGAAACATGATCACACAGTTCTGGGCCAAGCTAAAAAACCGTAGAGCTGCCTTTACGTTAAGATACTGTAGTTGCAATGAGGACATTGGGTCAAAATGTTTAGTCAATATAGACATAAAAAAGGATAGAGATAATGAAGGCTGTAGTGCAACCTTAGGTCAATGAGTTTAACTGTTCATCTTAGTATTGCATCGATAAGCAGACTCTGAGCTGGATGGAGCTGGATGGAGCTGAGGCAGCGCTTCAGGAGAGCGGCGTCTCTCCGAGTTACGCTCACAAACTCCAGGGTTGACTCAGAGTTCGGCCTCTCAGGGTTGACAACGTATTATTCCCAAAACGCTGCTGCTTTGAATCACAATCAACGACCGCAGACCTCAGAGTCCTTTAGCTGCACGGATTATCTCTCATCTTCACTCAAACAGTCACCGCACCTGTTCTAATAGAGAGAGCTGATTAGCCGGCAGAGCAACTGCCCGCAGCGAAAAAGCCTCTCTCTGCTCTCCTGGTTCACAGCAAAGTCACAGAAACAGTCCAAGGTCTGAGTTCTATTAGTGTTAGCGACATCAAGACGGAAGAGGGCTGAAAGAAAAACGACGCTCGACGCTCTAGGTAGTGTAAAATGTTAATGAGGGAACTGGGTTGTAATGATGTGGATGCAAAAACAGGACCGACTGCAGAACTTCCAAACATGTTTTTCCACATTTTAAGTTACTGCACACAAACTTTTCTTGCACTAGATGTAGAAATATGTCAAAGTATGAGGTGATGTCAATACTTATATGCAAGTCTTATTGTTCTGATATCTGGCAGCTAGAATCGAATAGTATAAGAACCCACAACAACAACTTAGTTTTTCAGCATCGAGGCATTACTTCCCCCAAGGAGGTTTGTTTTCGTCTGTGCTAGTTTGCAGGATTAAGGCAGGAAAATAACAATTCCATTATGGTGCAGATCTGGATCAAGGGTCGTGGGTCCACGTTTTTTTTTTTCACTTTAACATTGTGAAAGAATAGATAGCTAGAGAATAATGTATGAGTCTTGATGAAAAAAATCAAGCATATTTATGGGACTAATGTCTGTGTGCAGATTCAAATGAAAATCCTTTGCTTTGTGTCTTCTCAACCTCTCGTCCCATTTTTAACTCACGCTGTGACAAAAACCTCCTAACTTATATTTAAACTGTGAATTACATCAGATGCTGTGATGCCTCTGTATTTGCACTGAGGCCGTCATTGAGGACCACCCTAACCGTTTTTCATAATTACAAGATCCAGATCTCGCAATTACTGCACAATAAGCCGTAATTATGAGATGAAGTCTAATTTTGTCTGCAATTCACTTCTTTAAAAAAAAATCTGGTTTCAGGGAGTGCAAACATAGCGTGATTTATCAGTCTTTATATTTTACCGACAGCTGAGCCCCTGTCTTTTATTTATCTTCAGTATCATGTGAGTATTGTGTCCGTCACTCGTGGGAAACTTGTGAGTGAGTGTGTGTCAGACTCGTCTTTGTGGCAGAGGGGAGACGGGACCCCCTCGTCACTTTTCTTCATTGTTATCTTCCTGGTTTTCTTTATGAAAGTTAAAAAAACGTAATCAAAGGCTTGGTGGCTCCGCCTGTGCCGCTTCCAAAAATCTTTTTCCTTCTCTGATTCTCTTGTAATAACACTGGTGCTTTCAGGGGTGCTGACAACCTCTCAGGCTGGTCTCTGTGGAGGCATGACTCTGTTTGACATCTCTGCTAAGTGGAGGATGCTTTGTTACTCATTTAACAGGCCTACAACTCAGTTCCTCCTCTGGGAGCACGGCAGTCTTTTATCTGCTCACTGCTGGCCCGAGAACCTGCACGCACTCCTCCTCCGTCCTGCCCGTCACACCACGGCATTAACATTGGCATGGCCTCTTATATAGCAGACCACAGAGAAAGAACCCGGTGCTCTGGCTGCAGCACAGGGCTAAATCCCCGATCAGGGGGAGAGTTCAGGCTCCCCAGGGAGGAGGTCTTGGCCGCCAGGGCGGGTGGTTAGAGTTAGAGCAGGCTGGAGATTAGGGCTTTGCCGAGTCAAACGCTGGATTAGCAGCGAATAGTGAAGAGGAGATTCCACAGAGTCTTAGCAGAGAAGCCTTCTGATAATATGACCCTCTGTTTCCTTGGTCTGCTCTTTCATGATGTGTGTGTGTGTGTGTGTGTGTAGTAAATGACAAAGAGCTGTGTTTTTACCTAATAATGCTACGTTATCCCGCGTATCAATGATGTGTAGTTACAGAGAAATAATTGCGTCTTCATTTCTATCTCGTTTTTTAAGGATGATGAGCCAATCACAGGACGGGCTGATGGAAGAGGCCACACCCGCATCCGGAAGTTCCTCAGCCAGCGGCACAAGAAATTGCCATGGAAACCAGAGGTACTACACATTTCCTTTCCTTCATCTTTTAGAGTGGATTAATAATCATAGTATTAAGTTTGCTTTTTAATGGGCCTATGTAATAATAAGAGTTTGGGATACAATAATGAATGAAGTATAATTTAGATTCTCTTCCCATATTTTTAAGAGCAGGGGGTCAGATCCAGTTTTCCTCTGGTGCGATTACTGGAGGAACTAAATGTACCTCATGCCTGTGATGATAAATGTATGTGTCACCATTGATAATTTCTCTTCCAAATCCATTTGCTGGTTAAATTTCCAGGCGCCTATGACCTGAAGATTACAAGTCGATGTGATTCATCCTAATTTTTCAGCTCACTTACTGATGTAGTTTACACCCACTGCAACAAAGGGAGCAGCAGATGGAGGAATTATGCCACAGATTTGTGATAAGGAAAAGCGGCTCTACATTTGTAACCTGTTCAGCAGACTTTAATTAATGGTGTGTGTGTGTGAGTCTGTGTGTGTGTGTGTAAGTATGATTTATTAGAGGTTCTCTACCCGGGGTAAAGTTTAAATTTCCCTGCTGGGCACAACAGTGTTTAGTTCTGGGCAAACCGCAGAGAACAGTTCATAAACACAGCACGAGACGTTACCGTTGCACAAGTTATTTTCAGGTATTTCAGTTGGACGGCAGTGAATCTGTTCGTGTAGCGGGGGATTCACAGAACAGTGTGGGCCTGATGATATTATTATAGCTGTTTGGCTGATTCTCCTGAGTGAGCCAGTTGAGTTAACCAGGCGAACGGTTTAAACCTTGTTTACGTGCTGCTGCGGGAGATCTGGGATGCTGCTGCTGCTGCTTCTTGCTGTGGGAAATCCATCCATCCATCCCTTTATCTGTACCGCTTATCCTTTGAGGCTCAGGGGGGAAACTGGAGCCAATCCCAGCTGACATCGGGCAAGAGGTGGGGTACACCCTGTACAGGCCGCCAGCGTATATCACGGGGCCAACACACAACCATTCGCTCTCACACACTCACATCGTGGAAAGTTTCTGCCGTCGAAATGCAACTTTAGTTAGCCTGCATTTGCCTGTATGCCCTCTCTCTGCACTCCAAAGAATCAATCACAAACTAATTCAAGAAGTCCTATATATATATATATATATATAAATAAAACGCTGAAATACATTCATAAACTCGCATCCCTATGTTTTCTTTGCAGGATTGCTCTTTCTGCTTTGTGAGTTGTCACAAAGCCAGTTGATTTCTGTTTTAATGTGATGTGGCCTAGAAACATCTGTTGCCTGAATATTGAGGGTCCCGAATCTAAATGCGGACGAGGCTTTTGGAATAATTTAAACTGGTACTACTTAGAAAATGAGAAGTCACATTGATATGAAACAGCCAAGCTAGGACGGCAGCCAAACCAGCTATGTGAATGTGGACCAAGTAGACTAATTGCACAAATGTAAATGTATTACACGGCCTGATCACAGCAGGGGTGCTTTATTATGAGCATCCTTTTGTTTATTGTGTCTCATGTTTAGCCTTGTGTAGGTGAAATCTGTTAAAACCAGGACATCCTCGCACTAGGAGATATGTTTCATTGACCAACCGTGATCTCTTATTTATGCTTTGGATCCAAAAGAAAACAGCCTCAAAAGGGAAATGCATTTTGCAACATCCACACCAAATACATTTTGGATTAAGCTTCAAAAACTCACTTGTAGAAGTCAACACGACATTTCTTTGACTTGTTTCCAACCTTCTCCTAAAGCAACATGAAATTTACGCCTGTGAATATTCAGCAAATCCAGCATAACTCTACTGAGTTTTCTCACATCTCTATAAATTTGCATCCTCAAAAATCTCTTCTTTTCAGATATCAGACTTCTGGGAAGTCAGACCTAAGCCAACTCTGTCAGAAACCACAGAGTGCTGCCGCTCCTCCGCTACCCTCACTAGCTATGAGCTCTAATTACCAGCACTAACTGGTTTTCCTGATGCATAGCCAGGAAGGCAGAGGTCTGAGGGGCCACTGAGCCGGCGCTGTCGGAGGCGTAGACTCAGGCGGGTGGAGGCAGAGTGGTGCCATATGCCAGCTGTCACAGACTGGCAGAGGTCACACGGGCGTCCTGAAGCATCCGTGTGAGCTGCACACACGAGCCGGAAGACAGGACGCTGACTTTCTTCAAACGAGCAGAGTGACGGCGATAGAAACAAATATGAAATACCGAGTGAAGTGCTGTGGCTGTGACCTTAGTCTGCTCCAGCATTGTCAATGTTTGAAGTCAATATACTCCCCGCCCTGTGAACTCATCCACAGGTGGCTACAGATTAGCGCACATATGCCTCTGCGATCCGTCAAGGTCAGCAGCAGGTCAAGGACACAGCATAGAGGTCGGAGAGGAAGATACGCATCACTTTTTTAAAGAGACGAGCGGTACGTGCCAGGCAAGACGGGATAAATGGTTATTTCCAGCAAAGCCGACATGGATCCAGAGAGAATTTGAGCATAATGAACAATTTTATTTAGTCGTGAGCAGAAAGAAAAATGACGGTAAGAGGGATTAGTGACATTTAAATCTTTGTGGAATTTGATATCAAGGTGGCGGGGGGGGGGTTCTATGATTTCCTTCCATGTTGCTGTTCCACATTAAAACCACAGTGAGCAGCGATTTAAAACGAATCAGAGATGGAGGGATGGAGGACGAACATTTGGTCCTTTGGTTCCTGTAAAAACAAAGCTGGAGATGAGGTGCGTGCGTGTGTGTGTGTGTGTGTGCGTGTGTGTTTGCGTGTGTGTATGTGTGTGTAGATTTGGATGCCATATTATTTATCACTCAAGGGGGGAAGAGAGGAAGATATTGGAGCACAGCACAGACATGACTCAGGTGGGAGCAGTCGTCAATGCTGGCTCCTCTCACAAAAACACACGCAGTGACAAGACTGGGGGAGGAATCGGATCTTCCTCACTCTCTCTCTCTCCCTCTTCGTCTCCCACCCTCACGTCATCCCACCGTATCGTGTAAGAGTGAGTAGACGGGGGGAAGGATGCAAAACACTCCCTCCCTATTCCCTCGACCCGTCTGTCTCTCTAAATAGACGGGAGACAGAGATGTGATTTCTCTCACTGGCCTCTCATTTCATTTGGGTGAGTGATCGACAGATTGTGGCAGGAGATGAAAATAAAAAATTCTGCCCATCCTTCACGCTCGGCCTCACATTCCTCCGTTTGCCGCCACGTCCACCCCCCACATGTTATATCCTTGGCATGACGGAAGACATGTAATTGTAGGACAGATGGCAGATTATACAAACCCTCATTAGAGCAGTAGATGGAGTTGAAGCTAGATCATATGAACCTTGTCTTCCCCTTTTTTTTTTTTTTATTCCTCCCTGCTCTCCTCCGTGTGAAATGAGTTCTCATTATCTCTCCTCATATAATTCCTTTAAACCGCTGTACCTTTGAATTCCCCCTTTTCCCTCACAGTACCTTCCCACTTATCCTACTTTCATTTCTTCCCTGAATTACTAATGAGAGGAGGACGATGAAAATATAAATGCTCTCTGTGAAGTCGGATGTATTTCATAAAACGGTACCGTGACGTTCCCATCGTAGCCACAGAGAGAATAACTCGCATCATTCGATCTTTCATTCCTCGTTAACATTTCAACTTTTCAGTAAAACTGCAGTATACAGTGTTGTGATGTATCAACAGTGAGCTTTAACGCTGTCTCCCCTGCTTGCCCTGCGGGAGCGAGCTGCCTGGTGTTGTATGTACCCATCAGTGCGCCTCAGCCAAGAACATCATGTCTCACTTTTCTCATCCGACGGGGATTTACGGTGTCAGTTGGTGCAATTGCTCGTCAGTGGGTGCGCAGAGCGGCCATTTGTCAGTGCCTCGGTGCCAGCGGGAACGCAGAAGGCTGCGACAGATTTTGAGAAAGGGAGACGGCCTCCCAGAGGAGCGAGATGGGGAGAGAAAAGAGGATGTCTGATTTGTGCTCTGTTTGATAGTGCAAGCAGATGGGTGAGGGAGAGGAGATACTGGAGAGCCGTGGAGATGGAGATACGCGAAGACAAGCTCGCTGAAATATGAGCGAGAGGATGTGAGGGAAGATAGGCAAGACAGTAGCAGTGTGTTTGTGCCGAGCAGAACGATACGCAATTTTTTTTTAACTTTATCCATCAGTGGTTTTCTTACTCAGCTTCTTTTCTGTGCACCTCTCATTTCCTCCATCCACGTTTCTCTTTACTTGCCTGTCTCCCCATATTTGACAGATGGCATTGCTTTCCTCCGTCTCCCTCTCCTCCCCTCTTATTTAATGGCAGAGCCGTATAGGTGCTGTGTTGCTGTGAAACTGTGGGAGCTATTTATAGCCCGAGGATGGCGGGGGACAACCTTTGGACAGCGATGGGAGCGAGGAAGAGGTGGATGGACGGAGAAAAAGCAGGATTTTTTAATAATGCACTGTTCAAATGACACAGGCACTTAAATGTTGTACTTTAATTTGTTGAACGTTTACCTTTGTGTAACTAGAATATTTAGTGATAGCTGAAGAGAGCAGATATCCACAGAAGCTCTGAAAGGCAAGTTCGATTTTTGGATTTATTTTTCACACCCAAGAGGTCAGGAGCTTGTTGTTGTTTTGATTTTCTTTTCTTTTTTTGTAATGTCTATTTTGGCCACAAGAGGCTGATGTGCAACCTTTCACCACAATCCCAGTCAAGATAGTCTGGAAAAATAACCTGATGATAAAGTCTGGATGAGCAGGTCACCCACAGGACTGTTACCCAGATGACAGGGGTTTGATACCTGTTCAAACTCGATGGTCCAAAGGGCCGTCAGGGTTTATCGCTGTAAGCCCGGTGGTTTTTAATTGGCTGGTGGATTTCCGCCTCTTTGGCCGAATCTAACTCAAACTAACAAAGAGGGCAAGTTTTCATAGATTAACAATTACAGTTAAAATCCACGAGTGGATATCAGACACATGGCTCAGTACTGCAGTGAAAACAAAGATAGAGGTGTTTTCTATAAGTCAGCTGAAGGAACCGTGAATTTTTTTTTCTTACAGGTATAAGAATATCAGTTTTGTTCACACCTGTCAGCTCCTGTATGTTGCTGCCGGTTCAGCAGCTGCAGAGGAATGTTAGTCCGCCCTGTCTTTACCTGCAGGTCCCAGCGTTTAGCTTCTCTGTGCCAGCTGCCTATAGTGCTTCAGTATTACTTCGTGAAACAGGTTTAAATGTTGTGCATTGTGAACAGAGCGACTGGGATTGTCAGTCACATCTAGTTTGATTTAAAGTCGTCAAATGCAACTCTGCTTTTGTCCACTGGGTCTTGAATAATAATAACTATAATAAAACTATAAACAAGACCAACAGATAACCGAGTCTTCAAATACCCTGGTCAGAAGTGATCTCAGTTCACTCACTATGGAAACCTACTGTCTCTCCTGTAGTTTGATAGCTTCGAGGGTTATTCTCCATCAGGCAACTTCACCTTAACATCAATTATTGGGAAGTTTAAGTCATTCTGGGACTTTGATATTCTAGATCTTAACTTTCAGTCATTCTCGTCTTAAATTTGACTTAAATCCGTTCTGTTCACTCAAATTATGCCTAAAACTGTGACTTTATGAAAAATATTAAATGTCCATGTAACTTTACTACATATGTTCAATGTAATTTGATTGTTTGTAGTAATTTGATTAAAAAAAATTAAATGTAGATATATGTTTTATATATATTATTAACTTAATTCAATGAAATCCATTATTAGTTGAATTCACACAAATTCAACAGGATAAAAAAAGCACAATGAAACCTGCCCCTGGTTTTGGATCAAGGAACACAGCACAACAAATCAGAGTAAAGAAAGAAAATAAAAAAAGCAGCAGCCATTCTGCCTCTTTAGACAATTACTAAATTTGAGTTCCAGCCGACAAGCAATAAAAAGCTGTCATTTTAAAAGACGCAGGCTCGAGCAGCACCACGTCCCCGTGTGACACACAGACTCACAAACAGGCACATAAACACAGAAGCACACAAGTCGCCATTTCTCTGCAAACTGTTGATGTTAGCATCACTTTATCCCACGCTCCTCACCGAGGAATCGGCGGGGAGACAAAAACGAGATGGAGAGTGACAGCACGGGGGAAGCGACAGCCGTCAGCTGAGCTCAGGGAAACTAAAGACGGCGGGTGGAGAAATCGACAGCGCTCTGTCGGCACGCAGGCAAGAGACAGAGGGACGGAGAGGTCAGATAGTGGGGACAGTGGGAGTGAATTCTTTTGAGAGCGAGGACATCACGTGAATAACCAAACAACATAACAGGAGCGAGGCGGAGACAGTTTAGCAGAGTCAAAGCAAAGGCACAGAGGGCGAAGAAAAACATAACTTCCTTCTTCATTTCATATCCAACCACCTTATGAGACCAGAGCACAGACAGACCTCTCACACTGCAGCCACCTACAAAATACTGCCAATTATACCGCAGTGCCCCCCAGCAAAAGCCGACTCTACAGCCCGAGGCCTCAGCCAGGGCTGCACAGGGATGTGTTTGTGTGAATAATTAGAGACTTTTAAAGCCTCCTGCTTATTGCTGTTTGACAAGAGACGGGGTGAGGAGGGGGCCAGGCCGAAAAAAAAAAAGGTCCGCTTTCAAAAACCCACAGGAAATCTATTAAAAGCTTTACATAAGGCATATTTACACAGGGATCCTCTCGTCTGCTAAATCCCTCTAACCTTACCGTGCCCCCCCCCGGCGCCTTTCTCTCTCTCTCTCGCTCTGCCACTCCCTTTTCAAACATCGGACATTCTCATTCATCGCTCTGACTTCTTCTTCTTCCTCTGATTTGATTCTGTTGATCCCACAAAATCCCCGTCTCTCTCCCTTTCTGTTTTTCTCCAGCTTTTCTGTATGAGAGCATATAACACACACACACACACGCGCAAAATAAAACGTAAAATATGGGCACATAAAAAAATCTGGGAAATAAAATCAGTGGTCCAACTGTTTCAGACTGACATGTTTGCACAACATAAATCTCTCATGGTTAATGCATGAGCCGTAATTGCCGTGCCTCTGTCAGAGCGCAGGGTACTTAGTTGACCACAAAGAGCCGGGAGTGAAATGAAAAGGACCACTTCAGGTCAGGCCATCTGTTAGAATCCCGGTGTGATTCTGAGGGAGCATCACACCCTCCGTCAACGCAGACGTGGAGGCAGAGCAGCAGTCACAGACGTGTTCACTATATGAAAGACCTTCCTGTCTCAGCCCTCTGACGCCTTTTGACGTCGATGTGGGTTTTTACCTCCTGACCCCCTGTCCATTTGTTGGTTTGTTTGTTTGTTTGTTGCAGAATCTAAAAATCTAAAACAGATTTCTATGAAACTTTGTGAAAGGATGGGACGTGGGCGTAGATCTGGACAAAGGGGATAATTCATGGATCTTGATGAAGGCATATTTTAGGGGAGTGCAGTTTGTTGGAGCCTGGTGGACTGGAAGGGGGCTGTGGCGGAGGAATGCGCTCCACTCGGTGCCATTTTATTACCTCTGCCAAGGATGTTGTGTTTTCATCTGTGTTTGTTTTGTCAGCTATGTTTTGACATTTTCACCAGTTTCCCAGGGAGCAGTTGATGGATCCTCATGAAAGTAATCAGGCATATTAAGGAGACACATATCTACGACTCTTTGAAGGTCGGTCCAGTTTGGTAGAGTTAAAGGCGACTGTAGGGCCTTGGCGGAGGTATGCGCTCTGCCATTCTGTCAAAAGGTGGCTCCCCCTCTCCGGATCAATCGATTCCACAGCCCACAACTGTCGTCTGTTCAGCGAGCAGCTCCTCCGTATACAGAAAGGCCACTTCCACTTAATGAAATGGGGCCAGAGTGGTGATGCCAGCTCTTTGATCCAACCAGGCTCCCTGACTGTGCCGTTTCATATTCATTTGGTGAGAGCCAGCTTTCCGCTCAACTTGTGTGTGATGTTCTAAATATCTGTGGCAGCATTACAGCAGCGGCCTGCTGGGACTGCTGTCACGCATCACAGGATGGCATGTGCGTTTACAGTATGTGTGGATGTGTATTGTGGGTTGATCATCCAGTTTGAGAAATCAGAGCAATAGCAGGTCATTAAATCACTGAGACACCCGCCGCAGGCTCGATGCTGAGCGGAACCGTGCATGTTTGAAAACCACGCACCAGCACTGAGTTGCAGCTCTTGTGAAAAAAAAATGTGATCGAGGTGTAACAGTAAAATGAATATGTGTCTGCAGCATGTTGAGGAAATCACATCACCGCTGCGTGCATGTCTCACTTTCTGAACCCTAAATTTACACGTGGCAGAGCTGACAAAAGTACACACATTCTTTTCTCGTGTATAGAAGTACAGATCGGAGGTTCTGATTCAACTCATCATTCAAGTAAAAGCATAAAAAGTAAAGGTTCTGAAACATACTCAAAGAATTACGGAAAAAAGTTTCCCTCCGGAGGTCATTTCTACCAGCTGTGTTTAACTCTGACCACTCTTACTTTAAATAAAACTGGGGTTAAAGAAAGTTATGTGAGCATTGAATGCAGTTTTCTTTATTTTAAATTATTAAGCATATCTGCTTCGTCAGCGATGTTGACGCCGTTATCAGCGATTTTCACTTTCCTCCATGTTGTTCCTCCTTGTCACAGACATATGCACTTTCATGCTGCGTACATATACAACCAGGAATCACACAAAGGTCTTTTCTGTGCATGTGTCACATCCATTTAGGTTGAAATCCGTCTGGATGTTGGGAAAGTAACGAGCCTGTTTTGATTTGAGGAGTGGAAAGTACAGATATTTGTGGTAGAATGTCGCCGGTAAAAGTAACAAGTCGTCAGAAAAAGAAATGGTTAAGTGCATGTTTTATTTTTTACATTTTGAATTGATCCCAAAACTCAGCAGTGAGAGCTTGACACACAAGTCATCGGGGACTCATCTCCTCTTGTATATGAGCAGAGCAACGCGTGTGAGGAAACTATACCCCGAGGCTGACTGGTCTCACCATCTGTCCTTGCCGTGTCCTGTGATTTCCCTGTGTAATTCAGACAAATGTCAGACTATGGTCAGGGGCCCTGAGCTCTGACAAACTGCTCCAGACATTCAGCATTCAGACTCCCCCCCTGACACTCATGACGAACTCTCTGCCACCTTTGCGGGACAGAAACTCCACTCTGCAGTCATATTATTCACAGAGAACTATTTTCTCTGAGGGAAGGCGTGAAGGACGACATACTTTCTGCAACAAAATATATCGATTGAAACCGGTGCAAATGGAAATTTGGCAGAAGTGTATGCGGCTTATTTGAAGGAATGTGATGCTGCTGTCACCGTGCACACGCCTGATTCCTCTCCTCTGTTTGTGTGTTGGCAGTTTAAGGGCCAGGCCAACCTGCACGTGTTTGAGGACTGGTGTGGATCCTCCATAGCTCAACTGAGAAAGAACCTGCACTTCCCTGTCTACCCTCATGTAAGTATTACGGAGCAGTGAGTGACCTGATGCATCTTTAAGTCGAGATCCATCAACCCCATTATTCATTCAGTTAAAATTACTTAAATTTCAGAAACTAGTAGATTACAGTATTATATTATGTATAAAGCTCATCAGAAAACTTTACCAACCAACATCCGGAAAAAAGACTTGAAAAATGAGAAAGTCATTATAACTTAAAATGAACAGAGAGCTTTTAAAAAGAAATGAGATTCAGAACCAAATTGATGGAACGTTGCATTTCGATGAAAAGAATCAGTTTTTGGAACAATCTCAACAAAGACACCAAAGAATCGAAAACAAAAAAACAATGAAAGCCAGAATGATGAGGAATTACAACGAAATGCGTTGATTACGTTTTGTTCTGTTTTGGGTTTTTGTGTCAGGTACATTTTTGTCTTTGAATGGTATAAAATGAATTGCTTTGTTAATTAATGTCTTGTTTTGTTTAGATTTTCTATTTAAATTGTTTCCTTTGGTCGATGAATAATAAACTTGTAAAAAGATGCATCCAGGACCAACGACCACACGGTGAAGACCTGATATAGACTGTATATAAAGATGAAAAGTAAAGTCAAAGCGTCTTGATCGCCCTCTATTGGCTGGCGACAGTACAGGTCATAAATCCCGCCTCCTCCGCGATAGTGGATTGGACATGGACAAAAAAAGTTTGGTTTTATCATTGTTATATTATTGTTATCTGATGCGATAATAAGGATTACCTGACATAAAAACACGAACCTTTCCTTCTATTTTTATTGATGCAGCCACTGATGCGTGATCTGATTGTTAACATCTGTTTTTGTTTCCTGCTGCAGACCAGAACCACAGTGAAGAAGCTGGCGGTGGCTCCCAAGTGGAAGAACTATGGCCTGAGAATATTTGGCTTCCTTCACCCTTACAGAGACGGTAACTAGCTCATGTTATTAGCAAGTATCTCCTCTGGGGCGGAGGGCGGCTGTGGAGCATGAGAGTAGATCATTTCCATAGCCCACTTATTCCACACTCTTCAGTTCCACTAATATAGTGGATATTCACACATTTTATTAGGGCTGATTGCCAGGGATCTCACAGCTAAATCTCATGGCGGTACCCTCGAGACCTGTTGCTATGGGAACTGAAAAGCTGTAACACCCAAGTGCCCTTAGACAAATGAAGTTATTAATTAGATTACTGTTCATTTCACTGTCATATGGAGTCTTCACTGATGGTAAGGCTCTCCTCAGCTGATGGCTCGAAGGTCATCTACCTCCAGGAATCTGACAAGTGCTCTACAAGTGCCCTTCACCTCACCCTGCCACAGAAAACCCTTTGGTCTAGATTGATTGAGTGCTGAGTAATCAGATTTTGTCACAGACAACAAAAGCTGTACTCAAGGTCATATGACTTCCTCCTTATCTGTGGCCTGCTATTGTATTCATGAGACTGCACCTGCTCCTATATCACTCTGGTTTTATCTGATCTGAGTAAATGTGAACTAGGAAGTCCCCTTATGAAATAACTAGATCTAGATTTTTTTCATCAAGATCATATTTTTTTTCAATCTCACACAGCCTTCCTCCAAGTTTCGTACTTTTTGTGTTATCCTGCTAACTACCAAACTAACAAATGCAGATGAAAACACTAGAATAACTCTCAGCAGAGCACATACCCAGCGGTCCCCTTATCAAACCACATTTAAATTCACTAGATGCTGATTTTTTAATTGGATCTCCACCAAATTTCACACATTCATAAAATATCAGTTCCCTAAGCAAGCTTCATTATATTTTCATCAAGATCCATGAATTATTCCCTGAGAAATCAAGAAAAATTTAGAATAACACCTCACATTGTTTAAAAATCCTGGATCCATCCCCTGATCCAAAAGTTTATGGATCCTCTCGTCCATACAACAAACTTTCACCAAGTTTTGGAATCCCAAGAGTAGTTTTTGCATAATCACGCAAAGTAACACCAACAAACAAAAACACAATTTCCCTGGTCATTATACCAGGGAATATGTATATACAGTACAAGTATATTTATACTGCACAATCCTTTTTCCTTCACTCCTAAAAAATCCTGAGCTTTTATATCGATGACAAATAACTAGAATCTCTCTGACACACTCAGTTTTCTCAGCATTGAAAGAAAGACACTCAGACAATAGCCTCTTAAGGGAAAGTAGCTTTATTCAGCTCTGACTATTAATAACCTTGTTCAACAGAATTGACAACATGTTCACATTTCTCAAGTATCCTGATTATCCACTTATGAAAATTGATTTAATTTAAGTGACTGCTCGTTTGCCTCCCGTTCTCCTTCCTGGTTCAGATTTGTTCATTTACATTCACGTGGTTGTCACATTGATTGGGAATTCAGTCGCGGTAAAACTTTTGATATCCCCGTGGCTTAAAGTGGAATCGCTGACCTCTGCCAGAGGGAGTCTGGGCAACATGTTTTAGGTTCATTATCACAATTTATTTTATGAGGTCTCACATAATCTGATACTCATCTAAGATCATATGCATATTTCTGCTAACACGCACTTTGATCGTGTTTTGGCCCTCCAGGTGATTTCCAGTTCTCGGTATCGTCGGATGATAACTCTGAGCTCTGGCTGAGTCCTGATGAGAGCCCTCTCAATGCCAGACTGCTGGTCTATGTCGGGCAGGTAAGCGCTGTGCTGCACTCTTTAATGATATCTGAACCAGAGGGAGTCACTCCACTGAAAAACAGCAAGGTCCCATTATTTTTAATGCTTATTCTCAGCAAATTCACTAAGTGCACATTTCTAACTCTATGAATTCATTCCCTGGTTCGAACTGAGGATAGTTCACTGCCCTAATAAAACCTGTCTGTTTGGAATGGACTGTTTTCTCGCTCCGGAGCTGCTTCAGAATTATTTGTTGTCATTAGTGAGTTCTCCTCAAACATCAATAATATGTCACATAGTTATTGTTTGTGTGCTGGATGTTGTGAGCAGAGATTTTTATAAACAGTGTATGTTGAAGAGCGAAGTTAGAAAACGTTTATATAGATAGATATATGGAATAATAAATACTGGTAGTACAAGATGTGCAAAGAAGTCAAAACCATATCACTACATGACATCGTGATTTATTATATAACATGAAATCACGGCTCTAAATGGCGTCTAATGAATTCCCTTCCTTTCACTCATGGACACGACAGAGAGGATGTTGGAGGGTATCATTTTATAAATGTAACTATTCATTTAGTCATGAGGTCAAGAGTCATAATACATCTGCTCCTGCTCGGTCGACAAACACAAGCCCTTCATTCCACCAGAGCTCCAGCGTACACCAACAGGAAGGACACATGAGCGATTTGACCTTGTTCGTCTTTAGTAATCACCCGCTCAACCTCGTGTCACCATCCCAACGCGCAAGCAATCACTCACCTTCAGCACGCGGCTCAGAACGCCAGTGACTCAAATCCTCCTGTAGAACATCCTGTGAAAAATCGTTGTCCTTTCCCATCTATCCTTGAAGTCCCCTCCGCCCGTGATCGAATAACAGTCAAGGTTTTCTTCTGCTGGCTTTACTAATGAAGGTTTCTTGGTTGACCCGTATGAATGCTCTTTGTAAATTTGTGCTAAAAGAGCAAAGGTCCAGCCATGGAGCCATCTGTATTCCAACAGGATGCGGAGAAGTTACCAGGTTTCCACACGGGCTGAGATTCATTAGCTGGCAGTGAATATTGATGTGACATTTAGCAGTGGAGAAATATCATTTAGAGAACGGCAGGGGAGCGAGCGCCGTGGCCAGGGATCATTCATTCTGCCGGTGGCTGACGGACAGGCCTTGCTGCCTCCTCTGTCTTCAGAGACAAATAAAACTTGGGACTCCGATCCTCATTATGTGACCCATCTGTCTGGGAAAAAGAAGTCTTACAAGGAATGTTATTCCGCTGAAATACTGTTTACTGCATTTTTTATAAATTTCATATGCAGCACAGCGTGTAGTGATGTCCTCGCATATCACAGATTTTATGACTAAAACAGGTAAATCCGTACTAATCTGAAAAGAGGGTTTACTGCCAAGGCTGTTTTTTAAGTACTTCAGCTCTAAAAAGAGGTCGAAAACTTTTCTCTGTGCTGTTTAAATCCTCATAATTACTCAGAGCTCTGAATAATAAATAGATAATAGCTTGTAATTTTATGTGTAAATGAGTAATGATGTAGTAACCACACTGTGCTACAGTATCTCCACCTCTGGAAAAATGAGGGTGAGAAAGGTAAAGGCTTGTTTGTCCGGGTCGACGCCTTTCAACAGCATGTCGGTAGTTTCCAAATACATGCTTTTATACAGTATATACATATATTGACTAAATAATAAATCCAAACAAAGCAGTCAAGAAGAAAAGCCTATATCTCTTTATATTGTGAATTTCTGTGGTCTTAATCTCAGAACATCTACAGTGAACATGGTGTAGTTTCTCTTTTTAGCTTGAGGACGTTTGGAACTGGAATTTCTTCACATCCGTCACAAACGTTTGCTCGGACTGAAATATGAATTGATTTGATTTTCGTTGTCAGGGGTCAAGGTCACTGTGACCTCACGTCCATCCCGCTCTTACGAGCACAGTATCTCAGAAGCTCCTCGGTGGTAACGTCCATTAGGACTCAGTGATGAGCTGATTAGAATTTGGAAGTAAAGGGTTAAAGTTCAACTTCACTGTGACCACAGGGAACTTTAATAGAAATAATGACATCAGTATTTCTCACATACATATACACAAACACACACACATACTATAAAGACAGTGCTGTAATCCTGATTCTCACAGAGTAATAGTTCTTCTGTTCCATTCCTCACACACCAGCTGGTCGGAGTGTTTCAGGAGGAGCTTGTAATAAAACCACTCTCCCTGATCCTGCTGTGCACATATTAACGTTCTCAGTGTCAGCGAGGATCATCTATTGTCAGGCCTCAGCGCTCAACATACTTTTTGCCTCACAGCTAATCTCTAATGAGATTTTCCTTCAATCAGAATGTCCAGACAGGTCCCGCTGAGCTTCCCACTGACTCCGTCTGATATCGAGAGTCTCATGACAAAGCACACGTATGCAAGTGCTCTGTGTTCTGTGTGTGTGTGTGTGTGTGTG